CATGTGCTCTATAATAATGGGCTGTCTATAATGGCTGAATACTGAAACCTAGGCGAGCTAGAACCTGGCAGGACTGCCTTGTTCGTCTCAGTTTGTCTGGCAAATTCTCCACCTTTGACAGGATGCAGTCTTACCACTGTCTTTCTTTTTTAATCATTTTGTTTGGGGCTCTTAGAGCTCTTATCACAATCCATACATAGTTCCATTGTGTGAAGCACATCTGTACATATGTTGCCATCATCATTTTCAAGACATTTTCTTTCTACTTGAGGTGAGCTCTTGGTATCAGCTCACTTCCCCGTTCCCCCACGCACCCCTTTCTTATCATTCATCTTTATGGAAAATATTTTCATTTTCCTTCTCTGAAAGTGCTCTACCTTGTTCAACTTCCAGCTTTTGTAGGCTTTATGGTACAATGTTCAGTTCAAGGGACTTTAATTTTTAGTCCAAGGATACTGAATTTTTCCTAATGTTTGCTATCAGAATATTAATATGTTTTCTACAAAAGTCGTGGCTTAGATTTTAATTATATTGTCCTAAGCAAATGCGAACCCACTTCTGCTGAATCGATTCTTATTCAGGGCACCCCCTTATAGGGTTTCTGAGATGGTAAATCTTGACGAAAGCACAAAACCTCATATATCTCCCACAGAACAACTGGTGGGTTGGAACCGTCAACCTTGTGGTTAGCAACCAGGCTAGAATTAAAACTAAAACAAAACCCATTGCGGTTGAGTCATGGCAGCCCTCTCAGACAGAGCAGAACTGTCCGTAGGTTTCCGAGCCCGTGGTCTTGACAGGAGCAGGCTGCCACATCTTCCTCCCATGGAGCAGCTGGGGAGTTTGAACTGCCCACCTTTCGCTTAGCAGCCAACAGCTTAAATGCTGTCAGGGCTCCTTTCAAAAGTAGAATTCCTGCCTCAAAGGGGAAGAGATCATTAGTTTAGGGGATGGGTTGATTCATCTGGCCAAATTGCTTTCTAGAACAGTGCCTCCACACCCCCACCCTTGCAGTATATGAGAGCACCCCCACCCACCCCCCTACCCCACCCACCCCTGCTTCTCTCCTTCTTACTGCCCCAACCCTATGTGAGAGTGGTATCTTTTCTCACCACCTCCTCCAAAGGTCCATGGTTTGTCCTGAGTTGTCACTCGATTTAGAAGGCTTCCAGGTGATCGCCTCTGCCCAAATCCTCCCCTATTTCAGCAGCATCTGCACTCTCAACTCTGCTCCTCATCTCCCAGTCCAGCCCCATGTCTTCAAACCCATTTCTGTCTCTGTTGCTAACAGTATCTCTCCTGCAGTCCCAGGAAGCCAGAAGCTCCTCTGGTTGACAGGGAAATCTATGGAGATGGTAACTGGATGGATGATTCCTTGAGGGTATGGTAGGGGAGGTTAGGGGGAAACGAGGAGCTAATAACGAGGAGGACAAGAATGAAGAAAATGTTCTAAACTGATTGCGGAGATGATTGTACAACTCTTCTCGGTGTGACTGAACTATTGGATTGTATGATATGTGAATTATATGCCAATAAAACTGTTGAAAAACCCCACAAAGTCATGAAAGTGGAAGGAAACAAAAGGATTATCTAGTCTCAGCTCCTTCTCAATTCTGGGGAAATGTCCTTGGTAACCTTTCAGGAGAATTAATTAGTGTATAAGCGGTGTCTACAGAATACATCGAGCCCAAGAGGGATCCAAAGTTCAATCAAATATCCTGCTAATAGCTGGAAGAATGGTGATCCCAGAGATAAGATGAATATAAAAGGATTCGATGGAATAAATTGATTTAAAACTGACTTAATAGCAAATGATCCACCATGAACTACATGATCACATCTCTTTAATTGTTGGCATTCTTGATACCGTGACTCTAAACGGACACCCAACCTGAGCATCTGGATAATGGGTAGAACTTCCCTAGATGCCCTGAGATCCCAGATCCCACACCCAGCCCAAACCTCTAGGCTCAAAGCAACTTCAGTCAGCTAACAAGGCGACTTTCCAAAATACCCTGAGGAAAGCAACCTTCAAGTTTGGGGGGATGACATCATTGTTTCTTTGGGAGCAGTAGTGGTAACATCTAATTCTCGGTGGATTTAGGATTCCGCCTACACGGGCTGCACAGTAAGCTGCTAGCCAGCAGTGTGGACCCACCCGCTGCTCCGGTGAGATGAGACTTTCTGTTTCCATGACGATTTACAGCCGGGGACCCTAGAGAGCAGGTCTACTCTGTCCTTGGGTTGCTATGAGTCTGGATTGACTCCTTGGCAAGGAGCTTTGGGTTTGTATACGAGTTGAGTAGATCAAACAGTGTTTGTTTTACCGTTTTACTTGCAGTGCTTACCAATAGGCATGTCTTACTGGATAACTTTATATTTCCAATTTTAAAATGTGTCACTGAATAAGCCATTGAAAGGTGTAATTTTATGTGGAGATTTTACTAACTTTGCAAACACTTCTGAAAGACTTCAGAGAGCCATCACATCTGAAAGTCAGAGAAACAAAGTTCGTGAAAAGGGAAATTTAATGTATTAAATTTCTAAACAGAACTTGCCATACTGAAGGAAATTTAACTGGTGGGATTGTAAGTTCCGCTTTTGAAGTGATTGTTACTCTTTTCCAGATGTATAGCTAAGTGAATGAGATTTGTAAATTGAACTTAATAGCATAAAAGCAAACGATGGCTCCTTCGTGTATAATGTTGAGAAACTGAGTATTAATTTAAAAAAGCAAACACACCTTTCATAGTACTTTCTGTACACAAAAGACACCATTAGTCAAGAGCTCACATTTAACTCCAGACACTCAGCAAGTTCTTGTCAGTGCCTAACACAGACAGAGAGCGCCCCACCTTACTAAACCCTTTTGGGTAGCTGTGAAGTTGTGGAAAAGCCCCCTCCTTATATTAAGTCAAAAGATGATGCCTGATTTGTCAAAAGACAAATGCGCTAACTATCCCTGGCTGGTGCGGGCAGTTAGTGCATTTGACAGCTAAGCAAAATGTAGGAAAGTCAAGTCCACCCAGAGGTGCCTTAGACTAAAGTCCTGGCGATCCACTCCTGAGAAGTCCACCACGGCCAGCCCTGCAGAGCCCAGTTTGACCCTGACGCACGTGGGCCGCCATGACTCACAATTAGCTCAGTGCCAGCTAGTGTGGTTTTGTGCTTTGGTCTCAAGTCTGCCCTTCTGTGCACAATGCACGCCTGTTGCCCTTGTCCTCATGGAGAAGGCAGCATCTTTCCCCAGGTCTACCTCTCCAAGCTAATAGCTGCAGGGCCTCCAGGAATAGATTCGTTGCACAACCACGTATTGAATGCCTACGTGTTCCAGGCACTGCGGCTAATTGCGAGAGAGAAACCAGTGAACACAATCTAGATGTGTCCCTGGGATCCTTGGCCTGGGGCTGGAAAGAAGCAGGTGATCAGGAGAGGAGCCTAAATGCGCGGGCCCCTGGGAGCACATAAAAGAACCACCCACTCCCGTCGTCCTGCGGGGTCCTGGGAGGCTACCTGCAGGAAGCAGAGTTGAAGACCAGAAGCCTCGGCAGCTTCCCAGGAAAAGAGCTGAGGGAAGAGGGAACAGCATGTGCTAAAAGCTGGAAGGTAGGAGGAAACATGGATTTTCGTAGACTCGTGTAATAATAGGAGCTTCGCATTCAGAGCAGGAAGATGCGGACCAGGAAGACTTTACCCTCCTCCTTCTCGTTGTTACTGTCTAGTTCAAAGAGTGGTTCTGCCGGAGAAGGGCTGGACAGCTAAGCACAAGTCAGGGGTTCAAACCTACCAACTGCTCTGCTGGACGGAGATGGGGTAGTCTGTTCCCATAAAGATTTACAGCCTCTAGCAAAAGTGTTATCATTTTTGGTTTGTTGTTGTTGTTGTCTCCTTGCACTGTTCTAGGAGCCCTGGTGGCCTAGTGGTTACTCATTGGTCAGCAGTTCAAAACCAGGTGCGCCAAGAAAGACAGGGCTGTCTACTCCTGTTCAGAATTACAGTCTCAGAAACTCACAGGGGCAGTTCTACCCTGTCCAATGGGATCGCTGTGTGGCAGAATCGATGCCCGATGGCAGTGAGGTGGACTTTGAACTAATCTAGCACTTTTCATTTAACCTTCATGAAATCCTGTGAAATCGTTACTAGCCCTATCCCCAGAAAGATTTCAGGGTTAGGCTTATTCTTGTTCAATCAAACGGGACAGAAATAAAAATTCATCTCTTCACATTCCTGACATCTATCTTCATGTCCTACCAGTGAATTCTCTAGAGAATTTAAAAATAAAGCACAAACAAGGAGTTGCTTGAGGGTCCATTCTGACTCTTGAAGCCCTCCTACCCCCACTCAAAAAGATATGAATGTACAAGACCCCACATCCTAGGTAGGCCCAAGATGAGCTGACCCAGAAGTTTGTTTGTTATTTAATCTTTAGGGAAGCTGACTGCCAGATTATCCACCAGTGGACTGGCTGCTGGCTTCGAACCACCCATCTTCCGATGAGCAACTGAGAGCTTAAGTATAGCACCATCGGGGTCCTTGATTTTCACATTAGTCTTTGTCATATTTCATCCTCTTGCTCCCAGCCTCTCCGATCATTATCCATAATAAAACACAGGCCAATGGCTGATGGTTATCAAGCACTCTATGTTCCAGGGCTGATGGGAACCCTTTCACGGTCATTATCTCATCGCATCCTCCCCAAGAGGTATTGTGTTATTATCTCCATTTTCCAGATGAGGACATTGAGCCTCAGAGAACTGAAGACACTTGCTCATTGTGATTGAGCTCAGGACTGAAACCCAAACTCTTCATTGGTAAACTTCCTATGAAGCTCCAGGAGACCCGTGGCACAAACAGTCTCTGTTTTAGTCAAGAGACTCAGTTGCCGGCCACACTAAGTTCCCAGTTTCCAGTCTGCCACAAAAACAAATCTCTCTAAAACACTAGCTAATCAACAGGACATTTGACTGTGTCTGTCTGTGGGTAGAATGCCCACAACTCACCATTTGAAAATCCCAGTATATATGCAGTTCATTGTGGGCTTCCTGGGTGCATGGCTCTAAAGTGGGCTTCTCCCCTTTGCCAGGGTCGGTCAGGCAGCGATCCTTGGTTGTTGACTCTGCAATCAGTGGTCCCACGTAGAATTCCCCCGTTACGTGGTAGTAGACATTCTGAAAGAGAGCAGAGCCTGCCGTGGACATAGTCGTGGGGTCCACTTGGCCTTCCAGGAAGCATGAAGGCTACTCAGGAGCCTACGAGACAATCACACATCACGGGGAGCTCTGTCTTTCCCCGGGGAACAGGCGTCTCCTCTGCTTTCTTTCCCAGCCCCCAGAGTATTCTAGAGAGAAGACCAGGCTTGGGCAGGGGCACCAGCCGGCTTCCTTCCCTACAAGGGCTCCCCCAGGACCAGGGGTTTCATGGCAAGGAAGGGGGTGTATCTTTGAAGACAAAGCCCAGCAGTGAGCATGTTGTGGGTTTCTGAGTCGGGTGTTCCTGTGCTGAGTGAGCTTGGATGAGTACCTTTTTTTTATGCCTCAGCGTTTTCCTCTGTTCAGTGAAAAGAATACCTACACGAAGACCTCAGAAGGCTCCTTGCAACTTGCATAGACTAGCACCCTCGAGAGGCCCCTGCCATGTCCTTGCAACTTTGAGCTGGCCCATAGCCCCGGAGGTCAATTCTCAGCCAAATAGCAGACAGGCTCATAATATAAACAATATTATCTAAAAGCTCTGTGTGCCTTAAAAAAAGATCAAATGGTCTACATTGTCCCTGAATCAAAGATGAGCAGGTACGAGGGGGAGGGCCGAGGTGTGAGACTCATGGAAGCAAAGCAACCAACACTGAAACAGGGAGACCAGTGACACGCTGTGAAACCTAGCCCTGGGGTCCGTGAACACGGGAACTGGGAACCCAGCTGGCTGGTAAGCTTTCACCGAAAAACACAATCCAATCATATTAAGAGGGAAGGGGGGCTTCTTTGAGGGCCACAGGCAAAGGGAGAGGACAGATGTCGATGTTCTCAAGGGGGAAAAATGTCCCCTGGCTGCCCCCACCAGCTGTCATTCCGGCTCCCCCAAGCCCGTGGGTCAGCCGCTCTCTTCTCTGGCCTTTGGTGGCCGGCTCAGCAGCAGCAGGCCAGGTGACTTCCCCTTTCCACCTTCCGGAGCATCCGAGGAGCGCACGTTTACGGATGAGGACCGGGGAAGGGGGAGGTGATTATCAACAAAATGTGACTATGAAAAATGAGTGAGACAGAACACGGGCCTTCTACCTCTCTTCTCTGTGCCTGCCATGGAATTGTCTCACCATGGCTGTGGGGATGCCCCAGGGAGTGCTTCGTTACCAGGGCTGCACCCAGCCTCTTGAGCCACTGAGGAAGAGCGAGACCCCCGCCTCACCATCATTGAATGCCAACTCTGAATCTGGCCGAGATTTCCAGGGACTCATCTCCCCCAGACTTCTCTCTCCCTGTTGGGGCAGGGAAGGCTGTGGGAAATACCTGTGGGCTGAAGGCATGGCAGGGATGCATGATCGGGGTGTTGCCTGGAATGGGTCCCTGGTCAAGGCAGATACTCTCATCCAATGTGTTCTTCATCTGAAGGAGCAAAACACACCACGGTACTGTTGCAAAGAGGCAGAGAGGTGGTTCCTCAAGCATCCCCAGCCCTGCCTTCTCCCCAGGGCATCCTGCTCAGCCAGCAACGAGCAGAGTAGAGGGCTGGGATCCCAATGCCCTTTTCTAAGTACTAGAAAACAGGAGGCCCTGGTGGCTTCGTGGGTTACACAGTCGGGCTGCTAACGGCAAGGTTGGCGGTTCAAATCTGCCAAGGGAGAACGGTGAGGCTTTCTGCTCCTGTACAGCATTGGGAAGCGAAGGGAACAGTTCTATTGTGCCCCATCCAGTCGCTGAGAGCCAGAACCGACTAGGGGCCAGTGAGCTGAATGAGGAAACCAAAGTGAAGACCAGAATGGTACCTGCTTTCCAGGAACACCCCCGACCCCCGACCCCAATATCTCCTGTTGGGAAGGGCATCCACAGTCAAGTTCAGGGGAGCCAAGGAAGCACTCCGGTTGAATGAGAAAATGAGAAGGCTGCCCTTTGCAAAGGAAGAGGTATCAAGGCAGAGAGAAAAAAAGAGATGGGTGAGCCAGCGGAGAAAGGAAACTCAGAGGGTCCCAGCACAAAGAGCCAAGGAAGGAAGCAGAGGTAGGAATGGACGCTTGAGCAGCATGGGGTTTAGAAAGCATCGCGTTATATGCAAGCAAGCATGTCACATAGAAACGCCATGTCGTCATACGTACTCTGCCGTAGCCCACAATGTTATGCATTGGCTTCAGGACGGGATAAACGTTTTTCAGGTACCAGTCAAAAGTCTGGCATTTCAGTTTCTCCCGGAGCGCCTTTCTGGAAGAAATGTCTCCATAATCGATCCCCGAGTTCTGTAAGTAAAAGACCAAGCGCTTCGGCGTTGTGTCTGCGTGACCGCCCTAACACCTCTGACAGGATGGGACCGCTCATGAGGGAGGCGGCTATTCCCCTGGCGGTCTGTAAGATAACCTGGAGATGTTTCAGTTTTCCAGGGAAAGTGGGGAAAGCTTGAGTCCTAGGGATCGCTGCTGGCTTCCCAGTGGCTTTTATAAGGCCTGCGTAGTCGGGTCACTCCATTTCTTCCCCATCATTAGCAAGCTGGCTCAGACTGATCCTGTTTGGGACAATGTTTATACCAATAAAGCCCAAGACAGTCCTCCTGATGACTGGGGAAAGCTCCCCAAAGCAATGTCCTAGCAGCAAGATGTAGACACAAGAGGAGGGGGGGTTGTTTGTTTGTCTGTTTGTTTTCTTTACTAAGAGTGATATTTGGAGGGGATCTGAGTGAAGAATGATTAATGAGGCAAAATTGAGTAGGAAATTCAGGACCCATTTGTGCACCTGTCTTCCTCCCAGAATTGTCTTTCCTGGCTCATTTTCTCTTGTAGGTGTTTAGGTTTTTTATTTAGGATCGATTCTCTTAACACCTGGGGATATTCACAAATCCAACTCAGTAGACTTTAAAAACAACAACAAATACCTAGTGATTTCTGAGAAGTATACTCGTTTTTCTATCATCCCTTGGCATCCTGGAACACCAGGATGAATTTTTATAAATCTCTTTCCACAAGGAGCCGAGTGTAGGGGATTAACGGCACCTTGGGCTGCTAGGGAAAGGGTTCTGATAGCTTAGCATTAGGAGGAAGCATCGAACACGTCTGTCCATTAGTCTGTACTCCAGTCACAGTGTTGTACACGGCTTAACCTGGCTCTCGGGCCTCATCACTGCGCTTGACTCCAGAGTCGCTCTACACTGACCCCTGCTGGTGCCGTGGTTGCACACAGGGCTGCAGTCTGCATGGTCAGCAGCTGGAAACCACAGGCTGCTCCTCAGGAGGAAGACTGGGCTTTCGACTCCTTTAGGAAGTCACTGTTTTATTTACTCCTTGTTTGTCTTTTTACCTTTTTCTATTCTTACCATTTCACTTCGCTTTTGTTCTTTACTGTTTCTGTTGGGTTGTCCAGTTTGTGAAGTACAGAAGGAGGGGATGCCTAGAGATAATAACCGATGCAAGGGTTCGTAGGGATGTGGGTGGGGTAGATGGAGAAGTTGAGGGGATCTGGGGAGTAAACAATGTACGCAAAGGGGGGGAGGGAGCACTAGAACCAAAGGTGATTACACTACTCATTTAAAAGATGATTTAATCATGGACATGTTCTGAAATCGATTGTGTCCTGAAATCGGTGGTGGTAATGATTGTACTGGATATGATTGAACTCTTGAATTGTATGACATGTGGATTAAGTGTCAATAAAACTATTTTTTTAAAATCAAGGGAACAAAGAAGAAATTACAGTCTCAGAAGCCCACAGGGGGTCGCTGTGAGTCAGGACTGATACGGCGGCAGTGCCTTGGGGTTGGGTACCCGGAGGAGAAGAGATGAGCCCTCTGCCCTCCAAAACACACCTGGGCATATTTGAAGGAAGGAGCCATCGCACGTCACACTGACCTCTGGTGGCCAGAATAGATGATAGGACCTCGGCCAAGACCATCCTTATTCATGTGCATGCCGCAGTCCCTCCTCCCAAGACCCCGCCCTTCCTACCTGCCATGATCCTGTGCGACCCTCCCCATCCCTCCCCTCCCCATGCAAGGAAGTCCCTGCCCAGCAGAGTGGCAAAGACTCCGGGATCTAGAAGCCGTCTCCTTGGTTGGAATCTTGGCTCTGCCATTAACCAGCTGTGTCAGGAGACTGCCAAAAGTTCATGGAGAAATTCCATGGTCTTTTCCTGCCATTAGTCTGACAACTTTTCAAAGCTTCCACCTATGACCTTAAAGAAGTTCCTCCCAACTCTCTGTGCCTCCCTTTCCTCATCGGTAAAGTTAGAATAATAAAAAACGCTGCCTGCTCCCTAGGTATATTCTAATGGTTAAATGCGTGAACATGTGAAACAGTGCCTGGAACCGGGACAGACGTGTTAGGCGCCATTATGATCGTGCCATCGGGACTTCCCATAATCCTTTAGGACGAGGATGGCACTTTGCTGCATTCTTTTTCATTCCCTATCACTAATATCACCTGCTCCTCCTTCATTTGTTGCTGGGGGTCGGTCTTCAATTTCATGACAAACCTCGAGGGGCAAGTTCCAGGCCAAGTAGACCATGTATTTGTGCTCATCCATCCAGGTCTCCGCCACGCGAAGAGCATTGCGCCTCAAAGCCGAACCGAGATCCAAAGCATAGGGCTTGTGGTGCCTCTCCAGGTGAGCGATCCGGGAACAGGGTAGGACCTCAATCCTCCCTCCACACTGCCACACCTGTGAGAGAGAAGGGTCTCCTGAGCAGGCTGACCCCCAGCTCCCTACATTGCATAGGGAAAGACAACATTTGTGACTGTTTTTAAATATACATCCATCTGGTCTGCCCACTCCCATCTCCATATTGCCTCCCAAACTGTTTCTGGAAAAAATTCTTCCCAAGAAATTGACCAAAAATGTTTCCCTCCTGCCATTCAGCCACCTCCTGAAATCCTACTTCGTTATGACCAGGGGTAAGGCTGTCTGTACTCTCTGATGTCCATAGAAAACGCTGAATTCCTGAGAGGCACCATCCTCCCTGGACTTAGGTGCCAGATCGGGGTAACGTGGCAAGAGACTCTTAGGTGGCCCCATGACCCCCCATCTCCTGGTCTGAACAGCTTGCCTAATCCCTTTCCCATAAGTGTAGGCAAGAACTCATGACTTGCTTCTGCCCAATAGAGTTTGACAGGGTGGACATGATGATATGACACAAGCCTGCACCATCCAGCTTGCCAGGAGATGTTCTTCCTTGATGACTTTGAGGGAGCAAGCTTCTGTGCCATAGACCACCATATGGAGAAGGGCACGTGCCAGGGAATGAAGGCAAGCTTCTGGCTGACAGCCAGCCACAAACATAATGTTTCCTCAGCTGGGAAGACTTCAAGTGCTGCCCACAACCACATGAGTTTGGAAGCAGATCCCTCCATGGTCAAGCCTCAGGTGAGAACGCAGCCCCACCTGACACTTGGATTGCAGCCTTGCAGAAAGGGTACATGGGCTCCTCACCCCCAGAATCTATGAGATGATAAAGGTGTGCTGTTTAAGACCTCTGCGTTTGTGATGATGATGTTACACAAAAATGATAACTGGTGCACGTCAATTCTGGACCAAGAGAGACCATGATTTATGACCCAACTATAAATGGTCTTCCTTGCCATCTTTATGGGAACATACATTAGGATACATAGCTTAGAAAAGATGGTCTACATCCTGACAGATGATAGGAATGTCTCATGCTGTCAGATTGACAGGAAGTGGCCATGATTGTTCTTACAGATTAAACTGTGTCCCCCCCATGTCCCCCAAACCATGGTGGAGTAGTGGTTACAGGTTGGACTGCTAACTACAAGGTCAGCAGTTTGAAATTACCCGTTGCTCCTCAGGATAACTATGGGGCGTGCTACTCCAATAAAGAGTGAAAGTCTTGGAAACCCACTGGAGACAGTTCTAGCCTGTCCTTTAGGGTCACTGTGAGGCAGCATTGACTCAATGGCAGTTAGAGTGAGTCCTCCACATTTCTCTTTGACCACCAACGAGTCCATGCTGACTCATAGTGACCCCTGTGGGTTTCAAGACTGTACTGTTGATGGGAGTAGAAAGCCCAGTCTTTCTCCCTCCAAGCTGCTAGAGGCTACAAACTGCCAGGATCGTAGCCCAATGCATAACCTCTACACCACCAGGGCTCCGCCCTACTTAAAATATCAATGGCTTCTTTTGTGTCACACATTATCTTAACATTTCCTGAGGTAACCTCCACTATACAGGTATTATTATTCCCATCTAAGGTACTTGCCAATGTGAATCCATCTAGTAAATGCCAAAGCTGGGTTCTGGACCCAGGCAGTCAACATGTTAGTCTCTGGCAGAGTACCAGGACTGTACAACGCCCCCACACGTGCTGGTTTTCCTTTCCTACCCATCAGCCCAAACCCATTGACCCACCTTCAGGTGTACCATCTCGGTCAGTGACCACTAGATGTCAGAATAAAACACTGATCCTAACATTGAGTCCAAAACCCCCAATCAAATTCCTTTCCTACACACGTGGCCCCAAAGGACAGGGTGGAACTGCCCTTGTGGGTTTCTGAGACTGTAAGTCTTTACAGGAGTAGAAAGCCTCATCTTTCCCGTGAGGAGCAACTGTTAACCGGAAGGGTTGCCCAATGTGTAACCCCACCAGGGCTCCTCCACACATGAGTGTTGTTGTTGGTGGTGGTAGGTGCTATCAAACCCGTTTCGCTCATAGCAACCCTGTGTACAACAGAACAAAACACTGGCCAGCCCTGTGCCATCCTCACGATCGTCCTTCGGGTTGAATCCATTGCTGTTGCCATGGTGTCAATTCTTCTCGTCTAGAGCCTTCCTCTTTCCACAGCCTCTCCGCTTTACCAAGCGTGATGCGCTTCTCCAGAGACCGGTCTCTCCTGAGAACACAGCCAAAGTACATGAGGCGAAGTCTCTCCAGGCTTGCTCCAGGAGCATTCTGGTTGCACTTCTTCCACGACAGACCTGTTTGTTCTTTGGGCAATCCATAGTTCAAACGCATCGATTCTGCTTGGGTCTTCCGTCTTCAATCTCCAACTTTCACATGCGTAGGAAGCGGCTGAAAAGACCACAGCTTACATCAGGCTGGCCTTCGTCCTCAGACTCATATCCTTGCTTTTCAATGCTCGAAAGGGATTAGAGGTTTTGAAGAAGGAACCAGGCACCCATGCAAACCAAGGGACCTGAATGGATCTAAATGTTTTGAGTAAGATACTGCAACCATTCCCTACATTTTCATCAGTGTTGATAAACAAGTCACAAAATGCTAAAAGAAATGTCCTTTCTTGTGGAAATGTTAACAGGGGAGTTAAACACGGGAAATGGAGTCCGAGGAGGCACAAAAGAAGAGAGCAGAGAAGAGCAAGAGAAACGCAAAGGAAAAACAGGAAGGATTGGGGCCTCTACATTGTGGAATTGAGGTTCCAGCTAAATTCATTCAAATCTCTGGAAAGTAGAGTCACAATGTAATGATGTACACAAACTAATAATTTCTCATTTTGTGTGTGGGTGCCAGACATCAGTTGGAAGTTGTCAAAAAATGAAACGGAGCATATAAAGATGACTAGCCTAGGCATCGTGAGCTAGACGAACTGGTATTGACAATTATGATTCAGACAATCGTAGGGTCCACGGTGAAATGAATGGCAAACTCAAGAGGAAAAGCTAAATTTCAAGATCTATCTTGAAATACAATTCTTTCTATGATAGGATAATATCTACATGCCTTCAAGGAAATACAATTAATATCGCTATTATTCAAATTTAAGCACCAATCACTAAAGATAGTGATGAAGAATTCGAAGACTTCTACTAACTTCTTCAGTCTGAAATTGATCCAGCATGCAATCAAGATGCTTTACTAATTATTGACCATTGGAATTTGAAAGTTGAAAACAAAGAGAAAGGTACAGTAGCTGGAAACTGGAGTCTTGTGATCGAAATGACGCTGAAGATCACATGATCCAATTTTTCAAGACCAATGATGTCTTCAGCGCAAACAACTCTTTTTTTCCAGCCACACAAATGGCAACTGCACACGTGGTCTTCACCAGACAGAATATACAGAAGTCTAATGGATTCTTCCTGGAGGAAGAGTCTATGCGAAAATCCAATTATCAGTAGCCCAAACATGGTTAGCACCGCCTGTGGAACAGACTACCCATTGCTCCTCTTTACCTGGGAATTAGATTTGCACAGAAGGGGGAAGAATATATTCTGGAGAGGGATAGTGTAATAACATGAAACCTGTTGCTCATTGAGTGCAATAGGTTGAATTTATAGGTCATAATTCTTCATCCCACCCTGTTTGGCCAAAATGTATGACAAAATGTATCCCCTGGCTTCTTGACTTTGGATTATGACTTCTTTAACCAATGAGATGGAACATAAAAACTAATGTTCTAAGTCCAGGCGCTAAGGAGCCTCACATGTTTCCGTGTATCCTCCAGTGCACAATGGGAAGAATATTTTCAAGGTAACTGCTGCCCTTGCCACTTGGGCCCCAGGATAAGCATATGTGGAATAGAGTTTCCCCAACCAACACCAGCTGGATCTGCATATCTGTGAAAATACATAATAATTTTAAGACATCGAATTTGGACTCATTTGTTACTTGGAATTTTTGTGGCAATAACTAACCAAAACACAGGTATGGCATGAACCTTCGCTTGGAATTTCTCCAGCCATCTGAATGTGCACCTTGAATTCTCTTCTTGCTGTTGTTAGCAGCTGTCAAGTTAATCACCAGCACATGGTGACCCCGTGCACAGCTGGACAGAAGGCTCCTTGAGTCTGCACCATTACCACGATTGGCTGCAGATTAAAGCATTGGGATCAATAGGCTTCACGGGTCACTGGTTTATTTTTTCAGAAGTAGATGGCCAGGCCTTGGCCCGCTAATCCATCTTGATCTAGACGCTCTACTGAAATGTGTTCAGCGTCATAGCAGTATGCAAGCCTCCATGTCCAGAAAAGCACTGGTCAGGAACAGAACCTGGCTCTCCCTTGTGGAAGTTGACAATTCTACCACTGAACGAACCAGGTCTCTGACTCCCTTGAGAGTACTAAAATCCAGGTGTTCATCTGATAGAAGCAAATATGAAAAGCAGGACGGGGAGAGAAAAGGCAGTGTAGCTAGAGGTAAAGCCATCATTGTCCAAGACACACAGGAAGTTGGTCAGAAACGGAATTGGTTCAAGGATGTCAATGCTGTACTACACTAGACGACATATTCGAGATGGGCTGACAACAATGGGCTCTAACATATCGACTGTGAGGGTAGCGCAGGACCAGGCGGTGCTTCTTTCTGTTGTATGCAGGGCTGCTATGACGATGCACGGACTCACAGCACCGATCAATAACCGCAAAGACGTCACAGCAGCACAGGCGTCCTCGTGGCGTCTATTTCTGTGCTAGCTATTCCTACAGGAGCAAATGTCCTGCCCACGAGTCTATGTTCCCTGATCCCTCTTCCCGCCCTAGTATTCGTTGTCTTTGACAAAACATTTTGCATTGTAAAATTTGCAGGACGTTGTCTGCCCCAGACTTGACTTATTCCAGGTGATGTTTTATAAATACGAGGAGTGCTTAGGGGAAATATGGAGACTATCTGCTAAGCCACACCTCGACCCCTTCCCACCCAAACAATCCAAATTATATATTCCCCTACCAGAAAGCTCCACTCTAGACACCCCACACCTCTTATTCCTTGGTACAATGACCTGGAGACATGATCATTTGTCCAACTCTTGATCCAAGAGCATTCAGTCTTGCTCCAAGTTTCCAAAGATCCTCCTTTGATCTCCCTTTATATTTTTCCCCATAAAGAGAAGAAAATGTACCCACCCTCAGGCTAAATTCCACATTCTCTCCTCCGTAGACCAGCATTCCACCATCCAGGGCCCCGATCTCACCCATGAAGAGTCTGTCAGCAGCCAGGATGCCCATGATGGAAGGACTTCTGTAGAACACACGGCAAGAGAGTTACCAACCATATTATGAAGAACAGGTTACGATGGATGGAAGGGGTGGGAAGCCCAATGGTGTTTTGAGCTCTAAAATCCTATCTATGTGATAGAATCATCTAAACAATAAACACAATGTACTGCAGACATACGAGAGGCTATTATTCAGCCTCATGCGTATCACATCACAGAGGAACTTTGAAACCATGCTGAACAAAATAAGTCCATTTCAAAAGGACAAAAAGCACATAACCTCATTCATACGAAATAACCAAATATAGAGAAACCCAAAAAGTATCAGTGGTTATCAAAGGTAGAAGGGACGGGGTGGGGTGGGGGGAACATTTTTGCTTAGCAGGCAGTGAGCTTATGTTAATAGCGATGGACTCATTTGGAACAGAACAGGAAGAATAATTGTACAACTTGAAGAGTGTAATCAATGGATCTAAATTATCTATGTAGATATCATTTGGGTTGCTGTATGTGTTGTAGATATTTTCGCTACAATAAAACATTTTTAATCCTACCTAAATCTCTTCTCATCCTTAAGAGCCTCCCTAAATCATCAAACTAGACTAAGTACACACGGCCTCCCTTTCTCCTGATCCGTCACTCTGTCAAATCGTATGAACAGTGCGCCCTTTCACCTTAGTATCTCCACGTCTTTGCTTGTGAACTTAGTCTTGCCTTCCCCAACAAACGGATTTTAAATGTGACATATTTCCTTTGCTTGAATTTCTTCTTCTCCTTCTTCCAAGCCCCTAAACAGCCCAGGTTGTCTGTGATTCTTTATCTGGAACAAGACAGTTGGTTCTAATCCTCTATCCTGCACCCCCGACTCCCCATCCACTTCTTCTATTGACCTCCATCGCTACCAGCAAAGATAAGAAAAACTCTTAGTGCAATTCTGCCTTCCCCGGTGCTAATCATGCTCCCTGAGCCTCCTGCACACTTACTTGACTGGAGCAGTAGGATCATGCAGGTCAATCCAAGACTGTGGCAGGCTATCATACCGACACCACAGCTCCCAGTTGAACCCGTCCGTCGCCAATGAATACTTTTGCACATGGAAGGTGTCAAAGCGAATGTTGTCGAACACTGGAGACACAATCACCGTTCGGTCTTCCTGAATTCGAGCCAAGATGGGCTCTGCCCTAGAAGAGGAGTGGGGTGTAAGGCTGACTCGGACGTAAGAGAGCAAACATCAGGAAGAAGCAAACAAAGTCACAACAAGCGCCTTGCTCCCGATATTGAGTGCTTTCTCCATCTAAACCAGTGGTTCTCAACTTGTGGGTCGTGACCCCTTTGGGGGTCAAACGACCCTTCCACAGGGGTCCCCTAATTCATAATAGTAGCAAAATTACAGTTATGAAGTAGTAATAAAAATAATTTTATGGTTGGGCGTCACCACAACATGAGGAACTGTCTTAAAGGGTCATGGCATTAGGAAGTTTGAGAACCACTGATCTAAACTGTGCTGGGTGGTAAGCTGGTCTCTCCAGAGCCAGAGAATCTGTATTTCCTTGGCAACCTGGGCCTGCTAGCAACTGACACAAGTCCAACGGAGATTGGAGATTAAGACCCAACTTCCAGCCTCAGGTCATTGTGAGCCAGGATCTGCACTAGACTGCCTGAATTTGTTATTTCTTGCGCCTGTTTCCAAAGTGATATCTCTTTGTTATACGACCTCCATATTTTCCAGAGAACGGAGCTCTCTATTTATCTTGTTATTTCAGGGCTGGGGGAAATCTTAGGAGTCACCAAAGGGCAATCTCTTTATTTTGCAGAAAAGGCACACATGTGTAGTTAGAAGCGATTTGCTCAACGTCACAAGATATTTGGCAAAGTCAGAGCCCGGATCCAACTCTCATTCCTCCAAGCCTACAACTTTGTTTTCTCTCTACTGATGGACTATTCTCTGCGCCAATCAAGTTGCCTAAAAGCCTTTTGTCTCTTTTGAGCTTCTCTTTCAGCTTTCCTGATTTTTGTTGACTGTCCCTATTTCCACAATACTCCATTTTGTATTCAATAAATGTAAATGCACACAATCTATTTCTCTCCTGTCCTAGAGGAAGAAATCTCTTACCACCCAAGGTTCACTTCAATATGAGCATCCAGGATGACAACCACATCAGCCGTGGCAGCTGCCCAGCCGGTGTTGCGAGATTGAGCAAGACCTTGTCTCTTAGTGTGTCGTATTATTTTCAGCAGTCCTGGGTACTTCTGACTGTAAAACTTAATCTTCTCATCCAAGGAGGTCTTTAGTTCTCCTGCCAATCAAACACACGCCTATAGAACGTCTGCATGCTATGATCAATAGAATGCAATCATGTCATACTATTGGGCATATGCACTTGGATCACCTCCAACAAAGGCTGAGAACATCCAGGGTTTAGGCTGACTACATGAATAGCATGTCCCCTGTACCTACCTCCCCTCCACCTTCTATCCTGAGGTTTAATCTGACCAGTCCAAATCTCAAACACGACATTTCTGTGTCCTTTCCTTTGCTTCCTATGCACCGGGCACGGTACTAAGTACTTTATGTAGATGGACACGTTCTCGAGAATGAATAAGACAGACCTGTCCTAAGGCAGAGGTTCTGATGGAAAGACACTCACAGACATTGCACAGAAAGCCTGCCATGTCGTCTGGAGAATGCACCAACAACTGACATCGTTTTGTCGGTGATACTCCTAGCTGACCTACTCCAGGGCTAATTGGAACCGAATACTTTGATGAATCTCTTTGCCTGCTTCTAGCTAATGAGTTCATCCCCAAAATTATGCAAGCAAGATTTCCCGCTAGCAGTCTATTGGCAGCTTTTCCCTCCCTCGCTTCTCTTTCTTATATAAATCTTGTCTGTGCCTTTGTTTCTTAACTCATCCTACCAGATGATTTCCTCGAATCTCTATAAACAATTTGTATGCAAATAACTAAGCAGTGTGATTCACTCACCAAATGACTCTTAGTAACTCATTGGCAATATTATATCATTTAATTCTCAAAGAACCGTAGTAGCTATGAGTCACTGTATTCCTATTTAGAAGATCAGCAAAATGAGAGACAGCAAGGTTAGGAAACTTGCCCAAAGTCACCCATCTAGGAAGTGGTGTGTCCCAGATGGGAACTTATGTTGACTTTTACCACCAGGCAATATTGCCTCAAGAACTATGTGCATGTCGAGTTCTCTCCTCTCCTATACAATCAGGTGATGCTATTCTTGCTGGTTCCTTTCTCAGAAAAAGAGTAGATTTGTGAGATCTGGAGAGCTCAGCACCTGGAATCCATCAATGACTATGATACTTGGGGTAACTAAGACAAGCATTGGCTCCAAAGACTGGTTGCTCCCATGGGGCGTGAGCTGGGAGAAATCAAGGCTGTGAGACCCGACCCATGCACAGGCCTTCTTTAGGAATTAATCAGTAGGCGTTGCCATGGATCTTGGCTACCTAGACTCTACTTTAGCCTCTATCACCATCTAATTCGGTGTCACTTCCCATTGGGGATGAGGGCGGTATCTCTGTCTCTTCAACCTAGACAGAGGGCTGGATACTGCATCAGAGCACATCCCACACCAAACTTCAGTGAGTCTCCAGAGTAACTCTGGCGTCCCCGTACCAAGAGGCTCTGGAGAGGTCATGTTTACACCCTCAGCTGTATAAGCAAAGGAAGGCTGTTCTTCTAGCCCACCTACCAGCTCTGCAGAGGAAAGACCTGGTGCTCTGTTCCTGCAGCGATGATAGCCAAGAAACCCCGAGAGAAGCAATGGTGCTGTCAGCACAGAGTTGCTGTGAACTGAGATTGACCCGAGGGCATGCGGTGATGCAACAGGCCAGCACAAGAACGAAGGCCCGTCGATGACAATGCCGCTTCTGAAGTCAACATATGTTCCCTCCTAGCCTTGCTCCCTCCTTGGTCCCCTCCCCAAAGTCTCTGCTCCAGGCTGGTTGGCTCAGGGGGTTGCTTTGTTCACATCTTCTGCATCTTTGTTTCCCTAGTTTCTCTCCACTCCCTATAGTCCTCCCCACTGAGGTCATCCCTTGCATGGTACGTATTTTCATATACTACCAATCCTTGAAGTTGTCAAGGATTTCACCTTGCTTGGGTGCAAATTCAAGGCTCGTGCACGTGGCGTGGAGTAAGCCTGCTGCATAAGACCTCTTTAAAGTGTTGAACAAGCACTGTGATTGCTTTGAGGACTAAGGTCCACATGACCCACATCATGGAATTTTCATTGCCTCATCATATGCAAGTGAACTTTGAAAGGCAATAAAGAAGGCCAAAGAAGAATCAATACATTTGAATGATGAGGCTGGGAAAGAATACTGAAAGTACCATGGACTGCCGAAGGACACACAAATCTGTCTTGGAAGAAGTAGAGCCAGAGGACTTCAGCTCCAGTCCTTTGGCCACGTTGTCAGGAGATATCGGTCCCTGGAGCAGGACACCATGCTGAGTACAGTAGAGGGCAGAGAAACAGAGGACGATGAATCAACAAGATTAATTAACACAGTGGCTGCAACAATGGGCTCCAACCTAACAACCTTCGTGAAGAGGGAGCAGGATTAGGCAGTGTTTCCTTCTGTTGTGCACAAGGTCGTTAGGCGTCCGAACCAACTCATCAAGCCTGCGAGCCTCAAGCCCAGCCCTTTTTTCCCCCTAGGAAGCCTTCCTGGCTCCTTCCAGCCCCCTCTCCAAGTTTCCTTGCACTTACTGACAGCTAACTTCAAATTTAAATCCCATTCTTCATGTACGGAGTTGGTTTTTATAGGTATGTCTCATTTTACCAGAAATCTCTGCTCTCTTCTTCACTGTACAGAGCCTAGAACAGGGTGAAAACTAAATAGGCAATTGTGGAGAAGTTGTTGCGTCAGCTGAGGAGAAAATACAGGATACCGAGTCATACGCTAAAAGAATTTTGAAGAGCTTAGATTAGGTTTGTTCCTACCGGAAACACGTGACCTGATTGCTAATGGAGGGTGACCTCCAGGGACAGAAAGGTTAAAGGAATCTCACAACCATCTCAGATTGTGGTGGATTTCAAATGATACCAAGGTGAACAAGGATTAATATCACTAGCGAGTATTTATTGAAAGCCAAGCTCCAAGCATGATTTGATCCACAGAATGATCCCATGAGTCGGGCAGCGTTCCGACTCACACTTTATGGATGAGGAAATGAGACTCAGAGTGGTTGAGTGACTTGCTAGCCAGGCCACACAAGCAACAAAAAAAGCAAGCAAGAAAACTCATTGGCTGTGAGTCCATTCCAACTCATCGTGACCCTACAGGAGAGAGTAGACGTCTTACAGCATGATAGAGATGACCGGTTGTTTTCCTTGGTTTAACAAGAAGCAGATTTTTTATCTATGTCACATGGGTCCAATCTATCTGGTGTTTCCCTGTAACGCTAGTCAAAGCCTGGTTAGCTATCTTTCTGTGCCTACCCAAAAAGAAGTTTTCTCTCTGGAAAGCAGACATGGGAAAGTGACATGTGACCAGATAGGAGCACACTTTGAAACAATAGAGAACTGTGATTGCCCTCTTTTTATTTGTCTACCTTATGTTCAAAAGCCTGTATCTTTTCCTTTTCTTGTTCCAGGGGAGAAGTCTTGAATCAACTCTTAATTGCCTTCTCTGGAATGCGAAAGTATAGTTTTGTTGAGTTCTCCCCAACACACACACAAACCAGAAAAATAAAAATCCCCAGAGAACTGCCCATCTCTCCCACGAGACGCTGAGGCCCAAGGAGTTGGGCCAATTTGCCGGATATCATCTCAAAGGGCCAAAGAATAGAGTCAGGGTGACTTCAGATGTCCAGGAAAAGCCTTTTCTAATCAAGCTGCTATTTCTTGCTTACAAAAACAACTGCACAACCTGCTGTCAGTCAGCAGCTCCACAAATGAATGCAGTCAACCACCACAGTGTCTTGGGTTTTCCGTGGAATTTTACTCTAGGAATCTGACATTTCTCTCTCTCTCTCTCTCTCTCTCTCTCTGAGGAGCATACCTCTGTCGAGCTTCAGAGCCCTGACTGTCAGGAAGTTCTTCCTGATGGCCACCTGAAATCTCTAGTTGTATGACTTCATCCTAGTCTGTTTGGTTTCCAAAATTAATAAAATTGATGGCTGACAGTTTCTGATAGGTTACCTGGTGCCAAATGCTATTCATAATCCTCATTTTCTATCAGTGTAGCAGAGTAGTTAGAGCTAGATCAATGGAATATGAACTACACGGTCACATTTCATATATGTCATTTACCATCTGTGGGATGTTAAACAAGCTCCTTGACCAGTACATACCACAAATATTTGAATCTGTGAAATGTGTTAAAAAAAATTAAAGTGGCTCCTTCCATAGTGTTGTGAGGATTAAGACAGCTAATACATTTAAGTTGCTTAGAACAAACAGAGCTAGTTAGTTCATTTACTTCTTACGACACCCCCTGGGTGCTTCAAGCAGTTACAAACTCAGCAATCAATTAAAAGGTTGGTAGTTTGAAGTTATGGCCATGAACACCCTATGAAGCACAGTCCCATGCTATTCTGTAACACACGGGGGTGCTATGAGCTGGAATCCATTCTTAAAGCTATGATACTGGACGGGTATAGGCCCATGAGACAATCATCATTAATATCAACATTCATGTTTTACAGACAATAAAACTGAGGAATGGGGAAATTCATTTGCCAATTGTCACAGAGCTTACAAAAGTAGGAGAACTGGAATTATAAACTCAAGGTGTGACCAAGGTCCACCCTTTCCCACTTTCTCATGTTCCCTCATTAGGTGGGCTACCCAAGGGCCCGGAGCCCTTATGCTCTAAACAAGAGGCATTGCCAACATGAAGACCCTCAACACCCCAAATCCTCTTTCTCCAGGCTTAATGGCCTACAGAGATTGATCTTTTCCTCATAGGAAGAATTTCCAACTCCTTTCTTGGTATCTGGAATCTTCTTATGGACCCCACTTAACCCCTCAGTCCTTGCTCAGGATGCATGCAAAAGGCGACTTTGGACCCACACAGTCCTGGTCCTGACTCCCAGCTCCAACACTGACTCACCAAGTGACTTGGACATGCCACATGATTTGTGTCTTTCCTCTTCTGGGCAATTGAAATCATGACCCACGCTCTATGTTTCTGAAGAGTTGTTTGGCAAGTATACAGTAACCTAAGGTGTCCTAAATCTGGAACCAAAATGCCTTTCCATACGAGCACAGTTGATAAATGGTTTCTCACCATTTGAGCTGAAATCATCCACCAAGATGATTTCTTTCAAAACTCTAGCAGGGGTCCGGTTGATGATGCTGGTGATGGCCCGTTGTATAATGGACAGCGCCTCATCCATGAATATGAGAATGACACTGAGCGACGGGAGTTCAGAAGAATACATCTTTTGAAGACACCTATAAGAGATCATTATGTATAGCCATGTGTTTATTATTTTATCACTTAAAGGGAACTGTCTAATCTTCCCCTTTCCTATGTATAACGCTATAGTATATCAGTCCATCTATTGGCACCCCAAGTCCGTTCAGGAGGCCAACGCTCTCAGTTGTTTATTGAAGTAGCAAGGGAGCTGCTACAGAGATAAAACCGATTTCGATCAATCAAATCCATGGCCATTTCTACTGGGTTCCATTCCCCCCCTTCACAAATTGGCCTCCCCGCCAGTGCCTCTCTGTGTCATTGACACCATCCTTTCCCTGCTCTTCCTGCTGCTGTCTTCCTTGACAAAACGCTACTTCACCTCTACAGAGACCGTACAAACTCTCTAGGGGGTTCTGCTTGACACACACATTTATGCCCAAGTTTTAATCCACATGTATTAAGTGCTTGGTCTAAGCTAGACACTGCTTGACCGTTTTTCTAACATCTTTATTGAGATCTAATTCAAATGCAATCAAAGTGCACATTTTAAAAGTGTATAAGTCAAACGTTTTTATCACAGTTCAGTTGATGCTTTTTTTCATAATAATCATAGTTGTGCAATACTGTCTAAGTTTAGAACATTTCTATGACACTCATAACCATTAGAGCAGTGGTTCTCAACCTTCCTAATACCTTGACTCTTTAATACAGTTCCTCATGTGGTGACCCCACAACCATAAAATTATTTTTGTTGCTACCTCATCACTGTAATTTTGCTATTGTTATGAATCGTAATGTAAATATCTTATATGCAGGATATATTAGGCAACCCCTGTGAAAGAGTCGTTCAACCCCCAAAGGGGTCACGGCCCATAGGTTGAGAACTACTACATTAGCATCATTCCCCATTTCCCTACAACCACCCAAAGCCCCAGCTTTAGGGGACCACTTATGTACATTCCATTTCGAGAGATGTCTATTCTGAATATGTCATCCAACTGAAATCACAACATCAGGTCTTTTGTGATGGCCTTTCACCTAGGATAAGGTTTTCAAGGTTATGTATGTTATAATGTATTAGTGCTTCATTTCTTCCGATGATCAAACTATGTTCCATTGAATGAATATGCTGCATCTTGGCCTTTTGGGTCATTTGATAGGTATTTGGATTGCTTGGTAATTCTGAATAATGTTTCTGGGAGTATTTACGTGTAAGTTTTCTTATATGCCTCTTTACTTACTTCTCTTGGCCATACATGAGGAAGAGAATTGCTGGGGCAGATCATAACTCTATGTTTAACCTTTCAAGAACCTGCTAGACAAAGTAGTGTTGGAACCAAAGCAATGTTATCAGATAAAAAGAAGGAAATTTCAGAATGATAAAAATGTCATTTCTTCAAGAATAGGTAACAACTGTAAACATAGTTGCATATAACAGCAGAATCCTAAATGGACTACCGTATATATTTGAGCATAAGCCAACCCAAGTGTCAGCCAAAGCACCTAATTTTACCACAAAAACTGCATTAAAAATGTGCTGAACGTCTGGGGTCTTAAAAGCTTGTAGGCAAACAAGCAGCCATCTAGCTTGGAAACAACAAAGTCCACAGAGAAGAAGCACACGAGCCTGTGTGAACACGAGGTGTTGAAGGGAACAGGTAGCAGACACCAAAGAACAAAAACCATCATTGTGTGACCACCTTTCATTTTCTCTCTTCTTTTAAATTTTGTATGTCAGTGGCTTTTTTGTTTG